GAGTTTTTAGCACAAGTGAAGCACTTAACATACACTATGTATAAATATAACACCTTGAATGATACAGAGATCACTCTAGGATTAATACAAATTGCTTTAAAACTGAACGATAACACATGGGAAAACAAAGGGAACAAATAGAAGGGGGAAGTTACAGAAGACTCTATGATGTAAAAGGCTTCAGTGTCCCTGCTAAGTGCGGGGCTGGAGGACACACGGTGCAAGGGTTACTCACAGGTTGGCAGAAACAACAGACTCACAGAGAGAGCTTCCAACAAGCGCTGTGGTGAAAGAGAAGCAGCACAGGGCCAGGGATACAGCTCAGCGGCACAAGTGCCTGCCTGCCTAGCAAGTGCGAGGTCCTGAGCTTGATCCCCAGTACCAAAAGAAAACAAAGAGAAGCAGCGACAGATAGCAAAGGGGTACCGACCACGAGGAAGAGACATGAGCCTCAGAGCACTTGGATAAAAGCATTTCTCTAAGGTAACTGATAATCGTTTATGATAAAAACATGAAAAAATACCAAAAGGTACACACTTTTAGAATACTTAAAATAATAAAACACCTATCATATACAGAATGCCTAATTTAAACAGTGAGCCTTTCAAACCTTTTTAGTGCTTAATTACTTTCCCCTCTACCCCAAAGCCCAAATACTTCTGTTCTATAATCATCAGTCACAGAGACTATCGGCGAATACGAAAAGGTTGTTCTGATGGCACTACTTCATACGAAGAGAGCAGCGACACCTTCTCCTTCCGGGTTTTCAGTACCTACACATGCCATGACCCACACATGCCAGTTACCTCTTCTCCAGGATAAATGCTGTGCCGAATTCCCGTGCGCCGTGCTTTTGCGCTGCATTTGCAGAGTGGCCCGTCATTCATCTGTCAGAAACAAAACGTAACTCGTTTTCATCAAGGGCAAATCCACAGCGCGCACAGTGAGGCATCGGGAACCGTGGGCTTTCAGGTGAGCACCGAACCTCTGCAGAGGCTGTCACAGTGGAAAGATTAAACAGATGTTCCAAAACCAACACAGACGCCAAGTGTCGATACCGCCTGACCAAGGGACACTGGGACAACGCAGGATTCCCAAGCTACTTGGGCAGCCAGGCAGGAAATACCCAGGCCAACACAGCTTGACCCCATCTTCTCCTGCCTCACTTCAGGACACTGCTTTCTTCTTTCTTACTTCAAGAAAAATGACTCTTTCTCAAAACAAATAAACAAACGAACAAAAAAAACTTTATATCCTGGAGGAACATACAGAATGCTTTGAAGGTGACCTACAGTGTAACTGTTTTAAACAAGAAAAAGCTTAAGTAACTCTGAAGCAGAGAGAAAACACCACATACTAGAGTCACAAAAACGTTCCACATTAGTTGGGCTAGAGTGAGTCATCTTTCACCTGAATTCATTTTACTGGCTCAAATTCTAGCCAAATGACTCAAGAAGTGGTCACTCGTGAGCGCTTCTTACGCCAAAGGTGACTTCTAATCAGCAGGGGATGAATAGCACAGGATCCATGTACTAAAGAAAATCTGGCCTACATAGGAGAACAAATGATGTGCTTACTACTCTTTTTTTTTTTTTTTTTTTTTTTTTTGCAGAACCAGGGATTGAACTCAGGACCCTGCGCTTGCCAGGGAAGCGCTTATTCTACTGAGCCATCTCCCCAGCCCCTAGTACTAATTTGAAAGAAAAGGAACATCCATTTAGGTGGATGTCCCACTCGGACTGCTGTGGAAAAGCTTCAGAGATGAAAAGCGAAGGGCTGGACAGGATGGGAAGAGAAGACACCGCATACAAGACACAGCAGCATGCACAAGAGAAGAGTGAAGACAGGAACCTCCCCACATCCCAGCAACAGCAGACCGCAATACATGGGACAGGTCATTATGAGAGCAGAAGACCAACCAGGGAGAACAGAAATCAAAATCCAAAGGGCCCCAAATGCCATTTTATGAGTTTATCCAATATAAATGTACAAAACAGATTTTTAATGTTCTTCCATAAGTCATACAGCACAACAACTATTTACACTGTATTTTGTAATTCACTGTGCCAAATTGGAATAGAAATGAAAGTATCTCAGTAAGGCTGAGAAGGAATATTAAAGTGAAAAGCCTTAACTTTCTTTACCCTTTGGGAAATCTAAAGCTCCAGGTAGTAGAGCAGGGACCTAACACTGTGCTCTAAAAATTATTGTTAAAATGTTACCTAAAGTAACAGCTGGCAAACAATAGATGTAATAAGATTTCACTGAAAATCACAACACAATGCTGGTCATAACTTGCGAAGAAAACTACAGAATCTGCTTAGTGCTCACTGACTCCAGGGGAGCAGTCAGACACCCTCCATTCCTGCCTTTGAGCAGGGTCCAGGCTTCCATGACCATCAGCCCTTCGCAAGCCTTAGCCGCACAGAAGACACAAATCTCAAATACAACAGACAAAACAGTGAGGCAGTACAGCAGCCTTGGGAGAGGTAGGAAAATCTCTGAGACAGGACGCCACAGGCATCAAGGTGGATGCTTCTGGCCAGACGAAGCAGTAGCCAATTAAAAAGCTCGCTTGTGGGGAAGAGTATCATTTAGGGGAGACGAAAACACTCTGAAATAGATTGTGATATTGGCTGTACAGCCCTGTGAATAAAAAGAACCTTGGATTGTGTAATTGTGTATAAACTGTATTACATGAATTACAACTCAACAAAGCTGCTCAAAAAGAAAGCCAGATGTCATCGCAATTCTGTAAACATTTCTGCTCAGTTCCAAAGCACTACAATGCTTCTGTCAGTCATTCTAATCATATTAATCCTCTAAAAACATTTATTTTTCCTACTAGGAATTGAACTCAGGACCCTGCACTTGTCAACCAAGTGCTAGTGCCACTGAGCTATACCCCTAGCCCTACCAAAAACTCTTGACAGCTATGATTTAACAAAAGATAGGAAAAGAGTGTTCTGATTAATAGAAAGGGATGAATTTATTTACAAAATATAAATTTAAATTACTTATAAATCATATAGAGGTACATGTTTTGTTTAATAACTATATGCATTAATGATGCTATTTTGTATGTATTGTATTAAGACAAATGTTTTATAAAGATGCTACTTTGTGTTTTATGTATTACTTTCAAATTAAATAGAAATTAAAAATATGGGCTGGCCAGATAGCTCAGCGGACTAAAGTGCCTGCTTAGGCCGACACAGGGGCCAGGGGTTCGATGCCCCAGCCTGCTATGCTGCCCCCCACCCCCCGGCGCGCTGAGACTGCGATGGAGACTGGGCGTGGTAACACGCGCCTGTAATCCCAGCACTTGGGAGGCTGTAAACAGGAGGATCACTACAAGTCAGATCTGTGTAGTGAGACCCTGTAGGCCCTGTAGACCCTTTACTAAACAGAAAAAAATAAAATAAAAAAAGAATAACGAACAAAATAAAATGGTCTGGCTATTATATAATTAGCTCAAATATGCCTAACAAGGAAGAGATCCTATAAGGACTTAAAAGACTTCTACAAACTAAAAACAACGAAATTTTATAAGACTATCTTCATTATTTTACAGCAAGACACTTTCCAGGTGAACTGACTTTGAAAGATCCTACTAATTCTCTCTCCCTTCCCCTACCACTTGCCTCCGTTCTTCTACTGCAAGTTTAATGAGGCAGAACCACTATCCTGCTCCCCAACACAGAATTTAAAAACATGGGCAGCTGTGATTCGAAGTGTAGCTGCTCTGGTGCTTTGACTTGAGAGGTCAATGCTGAAGCTGAAAAGAAATAAGCTCTGAAAGAGTGCATGGGCCTGAGAGCAGACTCCCACTTCAACACCAGCCAGCGCGCGCCTTCTGCACCCAAAGCCATTGATGTGATGAGTAGGTTTACACCTTCCACAGCAAGAGCATAAAAACACACGTACCTGGCCTGGGTCATTGTACCAAAGTTCATCGTGAAGCCGGTCTGGGTGGGCCTTTTTGCGTTTAATCTCTGCAATGACGTCAAACACCTCTGAGTCTGAGCTGCTAGAACAGGTGCTGTCCTCGTCGGACTCACACTCAGATTCACTGGAGCTCTCTAACAGAGGGTGGGGAAAAAGCACGATAGAAGCCGGAAAGATTAACGGAACGGTTTTCTGTGGGGACTTTCAAATGACTTGAACTTCTAACTGTAAGGAGAGTCATTTAAATATCCATTAAACTTTGAGGGCAGCTTACTTTACCCAAACACCCAGAAAATACAGTTTTCTATTTATTTTATTTTATTTCATTTTAATTTTGTGCAGGGTCTCACTACGCAGCTTGGACTCATAGTGATCCTCCTGTTTTCAGCCTCCCCAGCGCTGGGATTACAGATGCACACCACCATACCCAGCCTCATGGCAATACAGTTTTATAGCCCATAATGCAAAGCCATAATCTAGTTAGAGAAACAAAAATTTTCACAGAGAAAATAAGGACTAACAAGCAACGCAGACAAAAGAACACTGTAGTTGTTCTTTAATTTCACACTTTAAAAGCCATTGCATGTAGCCAGGCACAGTAGAGCAGAACTATAGTCTCAGCACTCTTAAAGGCTGAGGACCATGTTCAAGGCCAGCCTTGGCAACTGAGCAAGCCTGTCACATAATAAATAAAAGAGCTATTGATATAGTTAGTACTTGCCTGGCCATGCACAAGGTCCTTGGTTCAATTCTGAGAACCAGAATAAAGAAAGAAGCAAAGAAGGACACTGAGGTAACAGGGAAAGAGGCTGGTGAGGAGGGAAAAGAAAAAGAAAAGAGCACCACAGGGCAGTCAGAGCGAAGACCAGAGGTGAACTACGCTGGAGCAAGGGCTCTCCCAGAAAGTACTGAGAAGTGATGGGCGTCGTGCTGAGGGAGATGAACGTGACATTAAAAGTCGATGCTCAAGTTTTTGTCTTCTTTTTTTTTTTTTTTTACCAATTTTGCCTGCATCTGTTAATTAAAACACTAATTTGAAGGCAATACGCAATATGACAACCATTGATGAATTCCTATCATCACAGTGGCTGCCAGTTTCCAGCTTTAAGAGGGACACTGGGCTCTGGTCCTTCCGCCTCTGCACTGGACAGCTGCACATTGGATATACTTGGTTGCAAGCCTCGCAAACAAGATCTCTGGGAAGCATATTTTACAACTTGTTTTTGTTTTACACTTGAAAAGTCTGGTTTTTACTGACCCTTTCACTAAATATAATTAAGGAAAAATATGGTCAAAACAAAGGATGTACCATTGCTGATTTTTGCAACTCTAAGGGCAATAAATATTTAAATGGCAATGGAATACCCATCTCTGACAAAACTAAAAAAAGGGGACTACAAAGGAAGGACCATTTTGTATCTCTATACACAAAATAGTTAGGCTATACAGTGACTTTCTCTTAATTCAGTGAGAAGAAAGATTTGTACTAATAGTGTTTGGACAGGATATACTGTCTGCATCTTGTACTACTAATAACCACTATGAAGACAACAATATGCAATGTACTAATTATTGAAACTGTCCTATTAATCAATTTTGAAACTCTTTGCTATTTGTTTCTCAATAAAATTAATTAAAAAAAAAATAGGAACTCAAAAAGAGTGAAAAAGATGACGTTTTAATTTGTGACTCTGAATCATATATTGCAAGAAGCCAGGATTAAGCAATGACCAAGGAGCAGAGAATCTCTCTCCTGCCCACTGCTCACCTGAATCTTCATCTAGTCTCGTCTTTGGAGGTTCCCAGGGAGGCCTGGCTGCCTTGGCCTTGCCTTGGCGGCTCCCCAGCTCTTCCTCAAATTTGTCGTACAAGTCTCGGAGTCTGCTGGTTCCAACGACAGTAGAGTCTCCCTTTTCAAAGCCAAAAATCAATGTGAAGAAATAGATTAATAATGACCACATCAAAGATGCAGAAGACATCATAAATAATAGAAGAATTTTTAATAGCAAATTGCCATTTTCAACCCCTAATTAAATCAATATCCTTTTAAAAATGCCCAGCGTACCTCTGGATCACACACACACCTGTATGTCTAAAAAGTCTTTAGGAAAATTACGTACGAGCCACATCTGGATACATTAGAGCTATCCATCTATGCCCTTTTGATAAGACATTAACAACAAAGGCAGGACCCCAAGAGCAAAAGAAATACACACACTCACAATCAGAGGACCTGTAACACATTCCTAAAGGAATTCTCCACTTCTGCCCACCAGCCACTCTCACTCTGGGGGGAAAAGCACTTTTTAAGTGCCTAGACACTCTCATTTGGTAACCTCTAAATGTAAAAACCAGACCTTTCAAGTGTAAAAGTAAAATTAAGGCAAGTCATAAAATCTGCTACCCACAAGAGATAATTGCCTTTCCTTAGGCCCATCTTCGGGAATGAGACAGGTAATGCCACGATAGCTCTGACATTCTTACCTCCTTCTCAGCACCACAGATGACAAAGCTCAAAGGCAGATGTCAGGCTGCCAGGCTTATCAGCCTCCATTCTGCACCAGAATTTTAATGTACCCTTAACAACATAAGGAAAAAACCAGCTATGCCTGTTTAAGCTCAAAACATCAAGGTCTTCAACTTTCTCGCTTTAAGAATACCACCTACGGCAGTCATCTTGTCCTTCCTAGCTAACAAAACCATGATTTCTTGCAGACCCTGGCAGAGAACTCCTGGACTGAGCTACCACCCTCCTCCCAAAGACATCTGCATTCTAATTCCCAGAAAATACACATTATTTTATATGGCACAAAGGATGTGAGGTAAGATTAAGGCTACAGAATTTGAGGTAGGGAAGTCATCCTGGATTGTCTGAGGTGATCCTTAAAAGCAGAGAACAGGGCCAGGGAGATGGCTCAGTGGAATAAGCACTTCCCTGGCAAGCGCAAGGGCCCGAGTTCAATCCCCAGTTCTGCAAAAAAAAAAAGCAGAGAACATTTGACAACCAAGGTCAAAGATATAAGAGAAGAGGCAGGAGACATGCGAAGCGTGAAAGGGACCCGAGCAGTCATTGCTGGCCTTCAGGATGGAAAAGGGGGCCACAACCAAGGAACGCAGGCGAATTCCAGGAGGCGGAAAGACTTAGCAAACAGTAAGACAAAAAAACGTGGATTCCAGCCATCTGCCAGCAACTCTGTCAACAACTCAAAGGAACAACAACTCAGTTCCTCCAGAGCTCCAGAAAGGAGCACAGCCCGTCTGACATCTTGATTTAGCCAGTGAGACCCAAGTCAGACTTCTGACCTCCAGAGCTGTGAAATGATGCATGAGTTTCTTGTGGCCACACAGTTTGGAGACTTTGTTTTGGTAGAAGAAATAAGTCTTTGTGGTTGGTGTGTGACATGTTTTGGGCAAAGAATGGAAGGAGGGTATAGGCAAGATGCTAGCGATGCTCCTGCACACTGTGTGCACACACAGGCTTGCAGGGATGCGACGCCCAAGCACGCTGCATCATCCTGCAGCTGCAGAGGACGCTGGAGAACATGGCAGAGCTGAGCACGCTGGTGCACGCCCACAACCCCAGCTTCCTGGGAAGCTGGGCACGAGGCTCACAAGTTCAAGTTTAATCTGGGCAACTCAGCAAAACGCTATTTTAAAATAAAAACTAAAAATGGGC